CAAATCTCCCAAGATGGTAATATGGCAATTGGGGTCGGTTACAAACAAGTGTTCAATGTTCGAAGATAGAAAATCAAAGATTGAGGAGTCGCCACTAATGGGGGAACGATACAGAACACAAAAGTAATGATTAAATGAAGGAAGTCGGAGTTTCAGCCACATCAGCTGAAATTCACGATTGGAAAAGTCAAGATTTGGGATCCCGCAGGCGGCTACCGATTGGTGAATAAAGGCGCAGACACCAGCTTTGGGTAGAAAGGACGAATGGAGAGTGTAGTTTGGGAATCGAAGGTGGGTGGTGTCTGACGAGGGGGAGCATCGACGTTCTTTTCGTAGACCCATGATATCTGTCTTCCTCGATCTGAAAACTGCTTTCGCCTCATTCGACCCCGGTAAATTCTAGCGCTGCCTCGCTCTGAACGGTGTCACGGAGAAGTTTATTTCACTGTCATAATCCCTCAATACAAATAGGCGAAGCCGAGTCCGAGGTTACGGAACCTTTTCACTCGAGTTCACTATAGTAACTGGTGTCCGACAGAGTTACTCTCTCTCTGCTTCTCTCTTTCTTTCCCTCCTTTTCTACTTTGTCATAGGTTTAATTCCTAAAACAGCCCTCGTGCGAAGATAGCGGCGTCTATTTATTTCCGGGTGGCAGACTGTCTGATCTCGAATATGTAGACTACATTTTGCTGCTAAGTGAAGATCCAGATAAGTTGCAAGCTTCTCTGGATAGTTTGATTGCCAGCGTAATCATGTTCAGTATGCGTTTTGCACCTTCAAAGTGTAAAATGTCACTAGAAGACTGGGTCGGTCCATCGCCCGCAGCATCACTCTAATTGGGGAAGTAATAGAGCAAGTGGATAAGTTTTGTTATTTGTGCAGCTACATCTCACTCGGTGGACACATCACAAATGAAGTGTCAGCTCACATGTAGAGGGCTCAGTTGGCATTGGCGAATTTCATACGTCTATGGCGCCGTCGCAACGTCTTATTTATGCCGCGGCAGTTCGGACAGTTCTGCTATGTGGCTCAGAAACTTGACCGTTAAAGAAACAGGATAAAGATAGACTGTCAGTGTTTGAACACCACTGTCTACGCAGCATTGCGCGAATCTGATGAGGCAACCGGACGAGCAATGCTGAGGTTTAGAGTAAAGCTGAAGGTAATCGCGGTCGCCCACTGGAGCAAGTGGTCAACCTCCAGATAGGTTGCCACGGCGAGCAATTTTTGCCGATACCCAAAGTTCAAAGACCTATTATGGAGGTAACTTGCAGGCCCATGCTTTTCTCGTCCCATAGGTTCGTGTTGTGGTTACAAGACAGTGTTACATACAATTCCTGTAGCGGGTGGAGAAAAGTCAAGGATGGTCAAGGTAATACTTGGCATGGGGGTATGAAATCCCTAACTAGGGGACTGGGTTACATAGGTCATGTTAGGCCCCCTGGCTGGCAACCTCGGGATGATCGTAACCCATGATTAAAGACACTGAGTGATACAGCTGAGTGTCGTTTACATTTGCGTTCATGCATCTCAACATTAATCTAATGAAATCCTCCGTTTTATACCCAACTCTATTTTCAAATTTCCTTTGTTCTCCCATTCTTCATCCAAATGGGCAGCCAAAAGACAGCAAACAAAACCGGCGCACTAAAGTGCATGGTTAATGGTTATACAAACTGAAACTGTTAAACCTATCACTGTCTGCATATGGGAAAAACTGGGCCCAGCCGTGGCCTCGTGTTGACCTAGATAGTTAGTCTGATATTGATACTATGACGACGTCAAAACGCTGAAGTCGGCAGAACACCATAGAGATGACCCATGAACCTCCTTCTCCCAACCCGTATGTCACCACCTTTCATTTTCATCATTTGTGGCATCCAATGGATCTCAGCTTAATGCAAATATTGACCGATCCAAAGATTCTTGTGTGAGGAGTTAGCGCCTTACAGGAACATGTCGTTGTAATTTTTCAGGTGGCGTTCTCTGTTGTCCCTCTGGTTGGCTCGCAATGCAAGTTGACCGCCAAATAGGCTTTCTTTTTCATCTGATCATTCCACTTGAGGATGGAAGTCACCAGTGGCTACCACGTTATTGGGCAAATTCTCAGGCGTAGTTGAGGATTGTCCTTTTGGAATTCGTCCGTCATTTGAGGCACTCTCCATTCATTCGGTCTATGCATGCACATAGTGTATCAGCACCAACGTTTCGTTCTGTTGCTGTTGACCCGTACTTAGGCGTCGAGATGTACAGGATTCAGTTGGCTGCTAGCCGGAATCCAATCAAGAAGCGATCGCTCAATCTTGTCAACAAGCGCTATCCTAACATCAGAACACAGCGAGTCTCGGATGTCGAATCGTCTGACACACGGATAGTAAAGCGTGATTCTGTGGTTGGATCCGAAGAACTTATGGTGGTAAATGAGATATGAACTCTTGTATGCGTGTTTTGGCGATAATATAGCTCTAAACTGAAAGTTTCAAGAGTTCTATCTAAGACATCATCACACCGTGTCGATGTGTTGTCACGTCCTAATACCTGCTGTGCCCGTATAATCTCTCTCTCCCTGTCCAGTCGTTTTGATCTTGTCACTGTTCTCCCAAACGAAGATATGAACNGAACCTTGTCGCGAATTTCGGTGATCATTTGAGGAGTTTCCGATTATAGATGCTCTTTTAGTATATCGGTATTTACTACTAGTTCCATCTCAGCTTCCTTTTTCGCTTGCAACTTAAATCACTTTCAGTCATTGCTTTAAACATCTCAAGTTTTTATTTTTCAACACTATTTTTATCACTGACCACATTGATTCCAGGCAGTGATTCAACTCCAGCGCTGTTGGCGGCGCACTCTCCGACGACGTGTTGAAGCTGCGATTCACATTCAGTATTGGTGGCGTGTTCGATGTCACATTCCCCGTCAACGCGCGCTCCAGATTCGTGCTGCTGCCCGCATTCAAGCGGCTTGGCGTGGATTCCAAACGCGGCGATGTTTGACTCAGTTAGCCGCAATCAAACGTGATTCCGTTCGACCTGATGGTGCTGGCACAGGTCGCACTGTGCCGCCTGTTAAGGCCTCCCATGAGCGGGTTGACCCGATCATAGCTAAGCGTCTCATCGACATCCGAGCTCGCTTGCACAAAGCCTCACAAGCAGCTCTGTCAGGTCAATGTTTGGCTTCACGCGCGTCCCGTGCAATTGAATGTATCCTACACTCGAGATCTGTTTCACAGGTTTTCGATGCAATCAAATGTTTGGGTACGTTGCACCTGGTTCTATTTTATGCGCGTGTCGACCGATATCCGCCAATCATTCTTGTTGTTTTTCAACTTATCCCACGTGGAGAAAGAGGTGCTCGCATTCAGACAGTTTTGCGTTTGCATACGACGAGGGTTATGAAAACGTCGGTTCACTTTTACCCGATAACCACCAAATCTCGTAATTATTTGAAAGAAGAACTTTACTACTCTAACGTTTTCATCTAAAGAACACCGTGCCAACTCAGCTCAGCGGAGTTCGAATTGACAATCCCAACGAGAATCCATCAGATACTTCGACCTACCCTCTTACAACAGTGCAAGAAGATGAGGTAGATGCCTATTTTCGAATCGGTATTGATTACAGTGAACCGAAAGCCACGTTTGTTGAACGTGTCAGTTAGTGGAAGTGATATTCTTTGACCAAAAGGTTCTTCAATCTAATTAATTTTACTAAAAACCATCGGAAAGAATAAAATATCTTTTATGGGCAACCTAACGATAACCGATTGGTCTGGAATGCGTTTTTCAGAATTGTTCTGAATCAGTTGACAATCCCGAATGGTGAATTTGCTACTTCTAAACGTGATAACACAGTGATGCATACAACACACGTCATGGTTACGTTTTCGCAACATCCTCACTTCGGAGTGGCCAGCTTGCTATCTTGATCCTATCCCAATGGGGAACCTCTAAACACTAAGGATCAGGAAAGTATATCAAAATTGCGGGGTCTATAGTTTCCTTGCTGGGCTCAGGTTGTTTTGAAGGCAGAGGAGAAAACACTTTCAATGTAGTCGGTAGAAAACTAGTTGGCAATATGTATAGGGGTGTACTGAGGTTTTGAATCTAATGGAGCGGATCGAAATGAACGATTGTCTCTTACTATTACATTGTATTTTTCACATCCTTTGGTACATGCATCGGTAAATACCAACTCTTGCTAACTTACTTATTGTATGTTCTCACGTTTTTTGACTGGTCACGGTTCTGATGACCACTTTATAAAGAGTATCAGCCATGGTATTACACTTAGTGAAGCTGAATGGAATATTTTGAACTTCCCTATGATTCTAACTCCAACGGGAGACATTCCATTCCAACGTGTAATATTCTGTCTGTCGCTCGAACCACGATTCCTTCCGGTTTCATTTGAACGCGGAACAAAAATATTCTGTTCGATGGTCGTTTATATGCCACACTGTGTAAAGCTGGAATCTCCACCTTCAGGAATGTTATACCAATCAGCTGATTGAGTTATTTCTTATTCCCTTCTAGCGATTTTCTATTTCATCCGTTCGTTTTTTCGAGAGAGTTCTCATCATTTTTCATCTTCCATTCTCTATTTAGAGCTTTGCACTCGACTTTCCGGGGAAGTTTGCTATTGGACCGTCGGTGTTGATCGTTGCCACAATCGGATACCCACTAAGCAGTTTGGTGTCGTGGGGGTTCCCGAAAATCCGTGCTTGCATCTCATATTCTTGCATCTGATTCAAGGTTGCAACCGCTCAATTCCACACGAGGATATTTTGCTCAGTGTTGCAGGCACACTTCTCAACCTCGCTCGTCACCGACCTTTGGCCGAATCTGTTCACCTTTGGTGGACTGTTCCCACCGCAGACCCGGACGGTGCGGACCCCAGACGATGGATCTCGCCCGCACTACTCGATTGTCCTCCTCGGCTAGACCGATCCGAGAGTTTGAATCGCCACCCAATTCGAGCTTGTGGAGGCCAGTCTACATGTTCGGAGCTGGGCGTTGCTCAGTCATCAACGCGAAGACGAGACTGCAGTGTTGGATCCGTAGTTGAGTCAAATCGAAGTGCTGCACCAATCCAAACCAGTATGGTCGAGGCTTTAATGGGCATTCTTTTACGCACTTGTCGCGCGCGGCCAGGGACTCCAGTAGGTCCAGTGGGAGGGCATTTTCATTGATATTCGCATCGGGACTGCACTTCTAAATGCATTTAATTTGATCCTAACCAATAAATCGGGAATCATATATCTTCTTTACGTTTCCCACATATTTCTGTTCAGTTCATACCATTGACAACTCGATTCGCTAGTGCTGTATTTCTGGTTATTTTGGTGGTCATGTCGTATAAGGGCTGCACTGAAATATTGCGAGGATCTATAGCTCTCCGGCTTCGTCTTAGTTGGCTCAAGCTTCCGGTAACGTCACTCATATCATTTCAGCTTGATGATAATCTTTTGTCGTAGTTGTGATGAGGCTTCAAACAAGCCTCGCACCAGAAAAGAAAACGAGAAACAAGACTTTGTTTATCCCATCAGCGATGTTTTAACTGCAAACTAGGTATATATTCTATTATATTTAACTCGGAACCAATTACAGAGAATCGGCAAGTGTGTCACAATATATAAAGAAAGAGATGCGAAAAGGATTTGAATACAAATCATTGAATGAGATTCTCACAACCGGTTATCAGCTGTCTACTAGTGTTCCAAGCCATAAATGTTCGCTGTCCTTGGGACCCCAGCCTAGAGCGTCCTACCATTGTCAGTATTGAGGTTACCGCCTTCATCGTTCTAGCCCAGGTTATTCGTTGTCCACCTTGTCGCCGCTTCCAGTTATTGTCTGCTTGCGCAGCCATGACACGATGGGGCAGTCGTTGAGCCAGCATCTACAACACGTCCTAGCCACAGAAGTCTCTGGAGTGAAATGATTACATTCAGAGGACGAGTGAGATTACTTGAGACGACGATTCTTCAATGAACCTCATCGTTGATGATTCGCTGTTGCCAACGTATTCTCTCAATGCAACGAAGGCAATGGTGGTTAAAGACACTTAATCTCCGTACATCTTTTGTGTGGAGAGGACAACTCTCGCAGCCATAAAGTAAGACCGTGTGTATTGTGGCATTGTAGGCGCTGCCTTTCAAGGAGAGACTGAGATCGCCTCGGCGCCACAAATGATTTGGGTTGGGTAAATCCACCCGAGCCTTGCGGATACGCATTTACATTTCTTCTATCAGTGCTCTGGAGCTGAAGCAACTCCCGAGATAAGTAAAGTGGCCGACGATTTCCAACTGGTCTCTCGTGAGCGTGAGGATACATGTATCCTCTTGCCAGCCTTTCAGTAAGACCTTAAATTACGATGAAGAAAAGTTCATACCAAACTGTGCGACGGACAACGCTAACTTTTACATGACGTTTTGAGCGTCTTGGGAGGAGTCGCAGAGTATTACGATGTCATCAGCATGTTCCAAGTCACGGAGTTGATCACCTGGCAGAAGCTCTGCAGTTTTCTAGAGCGCTGCTTATGATTTTGTCTATTGCGAACTTAAAGAGGAAGGGTGAAGCCGGGCACCCTTGTCGAACTCCGCTTATGATGGCAAATTAATTGTATTGTGCATAACTTTTACAAGCGCTGTAGCTCACATTTCAGTTAAAAAATCATACATGCTAACCGTCACAATGTACATAATCAACGGGGCGAAAAGTTTTTACAGGCATGGGGACATTTCATAATCCAAGGTTAAGACAGAGTTCACTTATTGTCCGCTCTCTGTTTATGAGTGAACGAGCAAGATACGGTATGGGTGAATTGCAGTATGCGTTAATTCGAGATGAAATTTGGCGGAAGGGGGAGCGTGTTGAATGATGGGAACGACAAAGTGTCAGTTCTGCACGCACTGGTGGTCGGGGTCTGTGAGAATCCTCTCAGAAAATTTCACACAGGAAGTTACGTGATACTCGGAAAGCTTTACAGCTAATTTATTCACAGGAATAGAAGAGACACGACTAATAATGGTTAGACCGCGGCGTAAGACTTTGAAGTCCTGTTTGAGTAAACCAGGAAAAATAACTGGGGAACAATAGAGTAAGATGGGAAAAACACACCGATGAACAAGAGTAGAAATAACTGACTGGGATGCACGAAACTGCCTGAGCTTTCATATTTGAAATGAAAGGCATCGCAGTTTACCAATGCAGTTGTGGATGTGGGTTGACCAATGAAGATTGTTATCTATGGTTAAACCAAGATATTTTACAGAGTTCACCCTGGATAAAAGATTGTTATTTATCACTGTGGGGTCTGTCGGATAAGGAATGCTAGTAAAACTATATAAACGATCAACACATTTACTGGGGTTCAAGGCTAGCCCTGAGGAGGAGGATAATGACTGAATTTGATCGAGATTGTCAGTGAAGGAGCTTGGATTGATGTTGGGAGCACTGGGTTGACACAGCACATCATCTGCATGTTTCAAAATACGTCCAGATGAGTCTCAAGGAATATCACAAATATAAGTGGAAAATAAGCATAAGAATAGCACAGCTTATTGAAGAACTCCTGAGTTATCTATTAAGGGTTCGGATCAAGCCGTCCTTACATCAGGAGATGGTGGTGGTGATGATGGCGACGGCCAACCGAATTGTTGATGGATGCGCTCCGCCCTAGCCGACGCCATTAGGGGGGATAACTGGCTAGAAAGCCAGACCTACAAGACAACAGAACAGAGCTCAGAGTCCTCATTCCATTGGTGTCCAGTGCATCGGACGATGGGGTCAAACGTCCAACGTGACCAATACATTTCCGAGCCCAATGGAGCCGGTAACCACTACCACGACCAGAAAGGTATAGGGGGTTGGTACGCTTCTTGGTTGGCTTGGAATCAGAGGTTTTAGCCAATTCCCCTAGGTGAAATACCACCAACCCGGATATTGGCTTTCCGTCCTCTCACTTTGGTGGGAAAACACCGCCACGAGATGACAATGAGTAGGTCTTCTTCAGCAGAGGCTATTTGAGACGCTTGGCCATATAGGAACGTTTCTTCAGGTGCAAGGGAGGGGTGACTAGCCAAAACCCAATGCATCGACCATACTGAGGCTTTCGGAAGCCAAATAAAAGGAGAAACAGTTGATCAAAATAGCGATCAAACGCAGTGAGTGACTGAAAACAACAAAAACGGTAAGTGGTGAACTTGATGCAGGCTGTAAAAATTGTTGGTACTATAGTACTGAACAACCGCGTCTCAGAGCCCCACAAAAATAATAGAAGAACCATAGCAAGTATGAAATGTATGCTTCAACGGCTAAGATACACCCTAATGTTGTACGCTGCTATGCAAGAGCATAGCAAAAGTTGAATGCCATTTTTAGCCTGTGATTTCAAAACGATTCTATTGGTGTGTAGTCTGCTTAAGTGTGTGTATTTGCAGCATATGCTCAGCATCATTTAGTTTAGTGATAGCTACGGCAGTGTTTATCTCAAAATTCTCTGTTTGCTCAAAGTCCAGGGGTCCTCTGCATGTCCTCCAAACCCCACCTTATTGTAGTCCTATTTTGTTCATTTGTTTAACTGCACCATTCAAATCGTACCATTGCCTCCCGCGCTCTCCAATGTACTTATATTTCTGACGATTTTCTGTCATTCGCAGGGTGTAAAGCTGTTCACTCGAGTGTGCTGCGTCTTATCAATTTTATGCGAAGCCATACCGCCAGTTTTGGTTCCTACGGGCTCACTTATCCCTGTTTGCGAACAACTTTCGGACTGCTTGGCTCGACGCAGCTCCGGACGTAGTAGCCGGCATTTGCATTTGAGTGCTACTCAGGAACGCTCACTTAACACGCGTTCACATTCCGCAGTCGTCCGGGAACAGGTCAATTCGTTGACTCATGGAACACTGCTGCATTCACAATTACGTAACTTGCTAAGGTTAGTGGCTTGATCTTTTCCGACTGCATACTTATTCCTCCTTTGTTTGTTGTTTCAGCAACCCAATACTACTTCCCTCCCGTTCTGTGAACGTTAATTATAGCGCCTCTCTTTTTATGGCTCTGCGAGTTATCTTTCGTACTCCACGAATTCTCTTACATGAAAAATGTTTTAATTTCAATTATAGGGGTTTTCGCCCGTATGATTTCCCTAATATGGGTTCTTCCGTTTGCGGACTGACTCTCCTGTGAGTTAGGTTTACCCTCCGTCTTGAAATTATGTAGAAACAGAGGTAACACAAATTGTGCTTCTTCAGTATTTGGTTGTGGAGTCCATTCAGTATAAGTGCATGAAAAGAGAGCCACATGCTATTTCTAATCCCGATCAGCGAACCGACTGTTGATGCATCAGCGAACAACACACGGAACTGAAACAGAAAGATTGTGAATGTTGTAATGGCGTATCGGTTTTGTCGATACACTCCTGACATCATTTGGTCCTGGTGTATGAAATACAAAGCCTACTGCTTAACAGGTCTCTAGAAGTTCTCACACGGGTGCTTCGTTCTCGCTGCCGCTTTAGATCTGCGCACCACTGTCTTGTGATTTAGACTTTTGAGTCAGAGGCCCCGGTTAGGGTCTCGAAGGAATAACCCGTAAATTCCCGCTGCCTTCCGAGTCAAACTTTTGAGTTGGTAGCTCCGGTCAGGGTTCTCAAAGAAAACCTCTTCGTCGTTCTGGGCTACCGCGACTGAAAAAGGCTTCTTTGCGGATCACATGCAATCGCAGGCAACCGAACGGACAACGGAGAACGCCTATTCTAACATTCCGTTGACCACAGACTGTTCCTGTCAAGCACCAAATGCTCTCACAAGAAACGACATCGCCTTATATGGAAACAACCAACCTCTTCACGTCGCTGAATTCAAATCGCCATCAGTTACCGCTGGTGAGGATCCATTGAAGACTACTGCTCCCACTGATCAACTCTCCTGGACACGGACCACGATCTGCTACAAGCCAGATTACCCTGCCTGTGGTAATCAACAGCAGGAAATCCATCGGCAACGGGTGCCCACAATACAGTGTCAACGATAATTGCAAATCGGCCTTCGCGGCATAACTCTGATCGCCTTTCAGCTTAACCAGCTGTGATGAGAGCTCAAATCCTACCGCAGCTCGCTCGCATCGGGTGTCAGGCGACTAGTCGGCCTCGCTATTGATCTAACCAGTATTGACACGCCTAATGATTATTGATCTGTATTTCACCCGTCGATCTCAATGGATTAAAGAACATAGTCCACGCTGGCTCACACAGGGTGGGAGTGGAACTGTATCAAGCTCGATCGTTGCTCATCTGATCGAGATGGGACACTTCGTTGACATGCGCTCGGCATTTACAATCATTTATCTAGACTCACCACACCCCTCGAGAGCAATACGGTTTTGGACGTTTGCAACCGCAGAGGTGATTAGCATCCGATTCATGAAGCCTGAGCTGTGCACACAACGAAAACTGATCCAAGTTCCCAAACTCCCCTGGTCAACGGAAGAGAAAATCATTTGTCCATGTGACCTTGACGTAGCATTGCGACAGTGTGCAAACTTGGAGTTCTCTCGGTCTGATTACCAAACCCATGACTCATCCACTTTTTTTGATCCTATTAAAATTGTTTCATATAAATGTGATTGTAAAGGCTTGAAGAGGAATTCACCGAAAACATATGTTCGTCTGCATTGTGTTCTTAATCAATGGGCTTATTTCGTGATTTGATATTTTGATATCTTGAGTCTCGCTACAGTTTATGAATTTAGTTTAACCAGGAAGCAACTACTGCTGCAGTTCTTAGAGCATCAATTAAAAGCTAAGCGTTGAGAATTAAATAATTCTAGTATACCTTCATGAGACTGGGTGAGTAAACTAACAAACTCGGTGATTTCGAATTGCGTAACTCCAAGCATGGCATTCTCCTAATGTACCCTCATCCATAAACCGGAATTATAATCGTGTGCATATGTACACTACTTGTCAGTAGTCAAAATACACAATTCAAAATAAGTTAGGTTATCCCAAATAACCTTTGATGGAAAATGAAAAACGGTCTGATCAGCTGCCCGGTGGCGTAGTGGGTAGCACGCTTGCGTCTGACATGAAGTCCCGGGTTCGCTCCCCAGTCGGATCGATGGATTCGCACTGCTGATGAGACCCAACCAGGTCGAAACAGCTGTCCAGTGCTACCGAGTTTTTCAGTTCACGCTTCATTTGCCATATACACGACGGATTGTCATTTGAAACCTTTGATATAACAAATTTCAAATTTCAACGGCTCCACAAGCAACTTGCTTGATTTGCAATTTCCTCTCTCCCCATTGTCCAAAACCAGCTGTTTCTGGCTGGCTACTCATAAGTAACACGATTACGACCGCATAACTACTCGCAAAGTTGTCTAGTTGAATTTTTTCAATGACGCTGAATACTTCTTTCACTGCCTCTCGTGCTGAGTGATATCTTTGTGACTCATTGAGGACTGATTTCGCCTTGATTTCAGTGTTGGATGACGGTGTATGGAAAAGTTTCTGAATATCTGCACGTACACCTTAGCTAGATGGTAGGGACCTCACACAGGGAAAAAAGAATGAATTATACAAAACAGACAGGTATTTGTCATGTTTACAAACGAATGCAGTTTTTTACAACGACAACACAGGGTTTATAAGTAAACATTGATTGAACTGAATTTGCATATGCGAATTCCAGTCAATAAACACTTACCATACGTATTACATTTATTGTTATATTGTTTCATGTTACACATATTACATTAATACAAAAAAAAATTCAATGCCGGATTTGCCGAAACTAACACCCAGGTGGACCGCCTGTGATCTGGGTTTGTTCCGAGTAATAAGGGCAACTGAAACGTTCCGATTCCGATCCGCATCAAGGCCCCAGGACAAAACCGCTCGGGTGCCACAAGTGAAAAATGATCAGTAGCAGAGCGTGGTTTCGATCCACGGACCTCTGGGTTATGGGCCCAGCACGCTTCCACTGCGCCACTCTGCTACACTCTGGGCCTTTCTACTTCCTCTTGTTAAAGCATCACGATTTGTATTTATGTATTTTGTTATTATAGTTTGCTATCTTGACCAGACAAACGAAAGCCTCACATCGTTGCCTGCCTGATTTCGGAAAACTGGAAAAGATTATGCCGAAGCACGTGGCAGGTTCCCATATAGATGTCCTGATAAGGGTGTGTTTACTGAAAGTTCCACCATCAAAGTTACTAACTTGAACTTAGCGCAGAATGTTTCCATCTTTCGCAAATCATTCATTATATATATGCTGGTACCGCATACTAATATGAGCTTGGTGACTGGTGCAAAATGCGTTGAGTCCCTCGATCACGCGAAGGGTGAATTTCCAGCGATTTTCATGAGAAAAACCGCAATGGAGTGTGGATGGAGTGAAGAAAACCATAGCACGCTGGGGGCGATAAGACCGTAGTAATGGTTTAAGAGAATTAAATCAAGTGAAGATTCCGCAGACTTGCAATAATCGGTGTCCAGTTCACTAAAATACGGGCAATATAAGGTAGGATACTGTTTCCGTTTGTACTGCTACGTGCAGGAAAGAGCTTATAATAAAAACAAGTACGCGGTGATGACATGGATTTAGGAATTTCGTTGTGCAAGCAACGTTCTTCGTCGCTCAAGATTTTATTAGCAGTTCTTTCACATGCGTCGATATTTTTTATTGAGATATTTTCGAAATTCTCCACGCAATTCCGATAGTGCGTTTGAAATATCATCACATGACTGGGCTCAGCTAACATTTTGCGATATGTTGAACCCTCGATGTAGTATTTTGAAATCGGAGTTCATCCGGAGTGCATTGATCTTATGCCTTGATCCATTAACATAGGTTATTAAGTGAAACACTGACGAGCAACAATAACGATCAGCATCCTGCAATCTCCTACCACTATATCCGCCAGAAATTTTATCCTTGTTTTGAGTTCATCCTATTTCGAACCCCTGAATATGTCCATAGAGATCTGCGCCAAACAAATCCTTTTGAAAGTTGTTCTGCTTTGCTCAAAAATAATGGTACCTCACCTGATTTAACACTGATTTGCCTTTTTCTGTGTTTATATACTCGCAGTTATGAATTGGATTGGCATCTATATCCAACCAAGACTCGACCGGATCCATTGGTTGCTGTGGACTATTTCCTTCTCACATTGTTACTCAAAGCCCGAGAACGCTGAATTTGTCCCGTCTAGGACCGTTTTTTGTACAAGTGAACCTTATTCTTATACACATTGTAGAACTGACCCTTATCCGTCGATATGCATCTTTGTGTACATACCTGATGAAGACCGTAATAAAGTAAAGTGTCTTATTCCTAATCTTGAACTGGTGTATTTTACCTGGGTTGGGGTCATTGGTGTACAACAGCTCCTCGTTGTCATCCCCTCCGGAAAGTGACATTCTTGAAGTTCGACAGTGGTTCTTTTCTCTTGTCGTGAGGACTTCCACCAGTTTTCGATTGTGAACTTCCATATTTTCTGAGTTTTGTTTCGACTTAACTTCACTGTGGTCACTATTGTGGTAAACGAAACCTCGGCTAGACCTATCCGGAATTATTTTTCCCTTGATCAAAATGTGTTAGTTGTATCGTCAGATGGAAATAGGTAAACTGAAGTAATCACATAATACCTAGCTTATCAGACAAAATCCAGGGGTTAATAGAAAATTTCCGGGCGAGAGATTCCTCCTTCAAAGTTCTCTGGACTTGTAACGCGATGTAACACGTTCTTCATAGAGCTGTGTTATAAGTCAAAAACAAAAAGACTAAAACTTACCCATTCCAAGTCTTTTTGCCCAATCATCCGGATCATTTGTTCCCATTAAAGGTTTTAACTGTGCGAGCAATGTTGTTCACTGGGCAGTTCAACTGGAATGGTTCTTTGTGAGAGTTGTTTCGTTTTATATATATATATATATATATATATATATATATATATATATATATAATGTGTGTGTGTGTGTGTGTGTGTGCGTGTGCGTGTGCGTGTGTGTCTGCGAATACCCCACTTTTCCCGCTGTCCATTTAGGACCCGACTGCAACTTCTACCTCCATTGAACGATCACACATTATTCTAGCCCCCACCCCCACACACCGCATTCTGACCTCCTCGTACAGGGCCAATCATCGTTACTCAGCTCCAAAACTGATCTCTTCTTTTGTTGATAATTGTATCTGTACGCTTGGAATGAAATACAGCGATTTGTCCCTTTTTTCCCTGTTCGTGTACGTGTTTGCTATCCAATTTTTAACTCTAAAGGTGAGAACAATTTTCGACTGTTCATTACTCACACCGTTCGGACTGAATATTCAGGCCTCAAACTGAACGTATCACAGCATAGTTGAAATCACGAAAATCTCATTAATTATTCTCAGCTATGAAAAATGCAATTCGCAAAATCGTAGCTGAACGACATAAAATATGAACGAACTGTTTCAGTCTTCTTCAGTATATTTCCAGCAGACTTTGTGATAGGAAAAGCGGTGACTTCATCCTAATATTGTTCAGGTTGCTATCTGTGGAGTTTAAACACGAGTCCAACCCACAAATGGACAGGGAGTTCCATCTCGCTGAGATCCTCATGATACTCATCAACCTCATACTCGTTCTGTCTACCTGTCTAGCCGAGGTTCAAACACCAAAGGAATGGACTAATAAAAGTAAGGTGTCAGTCTGTTACTGACCGAAATTTGTTTTGGAATGAGGTTTCCAAGAGAAGACGATTGAGGCCAATTCATTTTTAGGGCCATTGTTGTCAAAACTCGGTGTACTAAAACATGATGAACGAAATCACATGTGAGGACCATCAACTCCGTCCTGGAGGTTATCACAATGGGGATGATGTTGGTGTATACCGTTAGGACACCTAATCGGGTGGACTGTTACGCTGGTCAATGTGCATTCAACTCAACGGAGAATAAACGATGGCTGATGCGACGGTTAGTAGTCGTTCACGTGCATCGCTCCCCACATGGTTTGCTCCTTCTTTGACATGGGCTTTGATGAGAACAGGAGGACACAACATACAGAAAGCTTGCGACGAATTTCATCGCAGGTGTTCGAAACCGACGAGGAATTTCCGTTCCCGCGTTAACATTACAAGGTAGCGTTCATCTAAGTAAGCCGACCGGAAGTCTAATAACAACCACTACTTTCAGCTTTGTAAAGTCTGTTGCACTGAGAAATGGGGACTTCTGCTCGAACAACCGCCAGCATACTGCAAATCTAAACGCGGTCTGTTCGGATAATCTTGAGGAGACACGGGTACCGGAGCTACAAGTTCCGCCCATCTGAACGTGATGCTCATCTGAACCGAAGAGCGGTAAAATGATTCTTTTTAGAGCCTGTGAAGGAATAATCGCTCTGTTTAAAGATCAATGCGACCTGATTGACGAAATTATTATAATTATTATTATCTTTAGTTAATCTGGCTACTTACATATTGACATTTGGAGGGGTGAACCATCGCCCATGTAATCGAGCCAATGCGTTATGGATATTCTACCTAATATAGGCAAATCGATACGAAAAAGATTGGTCTGATTCATCAGAATTGGAGGCGGTTGTCTATCTCGAAAGTATATACTATAGATAAACTGAAATTATGGAGATGGAATCATTTGGAGATTTCAGAAATCTCCTTGAAACTAATACTAGACGGTGTCGTTCGCGCACCCTAATAAACATTGTATTGTATTGTATTCCAGCTTTAGCGAGTTATATATACAAGCTTTCAGCCAAAAAATAGACCACCGTTACAATTCTGGTAAAAACAGGGGGAAAAAGTGGGATGTGAAAACATACAAAGGTGTGAGTTAATTACCAAATGCATTAGAAAGCTCAGAGCGAACACTTTCCTTGTCGGTCAGTATCTGGGCAAGATAGGGTACCAAAGAGTTTCTGTATACGGATATGCGAGACGGGATACTTTGGTACTTGGGACGGGTGCAGGGGTGGGATTTGCATGCACACAAGTCAGTGTGTAGAGGATGGGTGCAATC